TTTTTTTTTTTAAAAAAAAATATTGTTCACGTTCACATGAATACCTGCACTAGTTTTTCAAAAATAAAAAATAAACTAAACTTTTCTTGGTTTTTTTTTTAAAAACACTGATTTAAGTTTAGTGAACAGTGCAGTGCGAATGAAATCACTTAACTGCACTGGTTTTTCAGGAAAAAAAAAAAACTTTTCTTGGTTTTTCGAAAAAACAACACTGATTTAAGTTTAGTGAACAGTGCACTGTACAGCTTTCTTCCTTCAGGAGAAGCAGCCAAATGCTGCTTCTCCAAAACCTCCGTTTCATTGTAATTTTTAGTTGGTCCTACCGGTTGAAAAGCATTTTTTTTCCCTTACCAAACAAAAATATGTGTGCCTGCAGGTGAACCTCACCCGCAGCCATGTTACCAAACGGCACCTAAAAGATGAAATGCACACACCAGTGTTAATCTATTCAAGAACTGAAGCTTATTCCATCACCCCAGATAAAGACAGGGTAACCATTTTATACCAAGTATGGTAATCTATTGTGTCAAAAATACATCCTTACAAGGAAATGACACTGCCTTGCTGCTTTGGCTAGTTTCCATAACACAATATAATAATAATCTTTAAATTTTTTACATGACCCGGTCAAGAAAGATAAACTAGAAAGGCACGAGTGAGAACATTAATTCAAATATTAGATCACCATTTTTTAATTGAAGTGCCTTGCACAAAAATCTGCCTTTTGGGATAACTAACCTCTTCTGAAAGTGTGCAAGTCCTCAGTCTGAAAGCCCTCAAAAAGTCATTGAATTTAACACGACCACTGTGGAAAGAAAGAGAGATTCAGAACATATATTTGCATTCACTATTGCAGAAATAAAAGACCAATGGGCTTCAATGATCACAGTCATGAATGATAAGAGCTTCAGTGTTTTCATTTAAAAATTTAGATGCATTATCAAACTATAATAATGCTAAGCATAGCAATCAGCAATAAAAAAAGAAGAATAAACATAGTTTATGAACAACATAAAATGGGATGCAGAAAAATAATGAACCCAAAGTTGTGGACAACATATCAAGTATGACCTTGCAGTAAGTTGCAGACTGGTAGTATGATCAGAATTAAGAGATAGATAAGAAGAGAGGCCTAGTTACAATGCCATATATTAAAATCAAACAAAAAACGATAATAGAGAAAAATGAAAATAACAATCACCACAACAATTTCTTAACAAAAAGTAGACCAGTATGGGAAAAAAAAAAAAACACGGAAGCAGGAATGCTATGCACGGCCCACAATTCAAACACGGCATCCAAGCATGCAACACTACAGTTAAAGACAACTTGACAGTCTTCAGTTTTTCCAGTGAGTTTAAGAGATGCACGAATCCCACCAGATGAAACTTGCCAGGGAATTGAGCAGTCAGAGTAGTTGACTGCTAAAGGGCACAACTGTCTTCAAAATTTTCCTCCCATGATCCCCTTTCAGTGGTCCATAACTAGATAGTCACCATTAAATTCAAGTACAAGATAGTATCCTTCAAGCAAAAGCTAGATCAAGCAATAAATTCCTCAGTTCCGAAAACATAATACCTGGCATCTGGGTTCATAGACAGAAACTTGTCCAGAAAGTTCACTGCTTCTAAGCTGCTTATATGGAATAACTGGAGAACAAAATAACCACCTCATTAAAAAATATAGTAAGATAAGCTATAAATAGAAATTATTAAGGATCCAAGGCTTTTTTCAAAAGCTACATGACTTAATTTTTTACTTGTGCATTGCAGCAACTCAATGGTTTTTTTTTTTTTTTAATAAAAAAATGATACATTAGAACGAAGTGACAATACACAAATACTAGCAAGTCCTATTTGCAAAGATTCATGTTACCAGAAACGATGGCCAAGAACAATTTATCTGAATAGTGCATGTGCTACTTTCAAATTAAAAAAGAGCCACCAAGCTGTCTCTATCTCTCGAACACACAATTTAGCTCTTACACTGCAATCCTAACCATGAAATACAAGAATCATTTAGTCTTTCTTTTCCCTCGACAATCTTCAAGAAAATCTATCCTGCACAGTCAATAACTTCTAGAATACTGTAAGACCTATTTATGGAAATGAATTTGCTACTGTGTTATTTCTATGCAAGTACTAGCCTGTCCCAGAAACCCCAACTTGAGGTTTAGTATCAAAACCAAAGGTGACTTTACCAGCTTATCTGATACAAACACCCACAGGTGTCTTGCTACAGTTGATGAGGAAGAAAATTAGAAACATGATCATTTAATCATAGAAAAAAAACAAATTATTAAGATTTTGCACCATTCAAACAAAGGGAAAAACACCCCAAAAAAGTAATCCATCCATTTGCCTAGATCAGATATATGGATCGGTTCAATTTCCTTAATTAACAGTAAACTCAACTTTAAGGTATTTGAATCAAAATACTTACTGATTCCACCTTAGCCATTTCAACCATATAACTTGAGGGCTTCTCCTGTAAAACAATATCAAAATATCAGTGCAAACTCCACAACCCTTTAGTTCCTCTGATAACAATGTCAACTTCTTATTGAACTAAACAAATTACTCAGAATAAACATTACAGACACAAGAGAAACATAGATCTGGTATGATGTGAAGTTTATTTTTGACACCCAGCAGCACAGACATGGTTGCCAATAAATGATAGGAAAAAAAAATCCAGTTGAGCTCAACTGTAGCAAAGGATTGAAGACGTCCGGTCTCTCAGTGTCAGGAACTCAAGGTAAGGCCACTGCATCAACACCCATATTTCTTTCTATATTGTTTCATTTCTAATCACCACATAAGTTATGACTTATGAGGTGTAAGCTTAGAACTTCATGCTTAAAACCATGGTGCATGTTAAGTTTCGAAACAACAAGGCAAAATCAGATATTCTGAAGTCAACCTTGTATCATTACTCTCATGTTCATTCTCTAAACACACCAAACTACTTCACAATGTGGCGCAAGGTGCAAGATAAATTTGAAAGGCAGGTTCTGGCAAAGAAATGTTATACCTGCTTCAACTCAGATGCTTTCATGAGAAGCATCAAGTCGCCATAAGAGTGATTAGTTTGAACAACATTGAGAGCAGATGCAATGGCATTGCTAGTCTGCAGAGATTCATATTCATCAATGTATCAGTACTAACGACCATCAGAGGAATGGAGAAGCATATAAGAGGACTATATCAACAAAGATCCATAATGGGCAGCAGTATATTGAGCATTTGCACGTGCATGTAAAGAGGAAAAAGAAGGCTAATGGATCAAAGAACTGAAAGTAAACGAATTAAAATCAATCACTTACCCTCTTGGCAAAATGGGAAGGATTTTCTTTGCAATTATCAAGGGGTGAAACAATTGGTAGATATTCTACCTGTTTAATTAAGAATAAATCATTACAAGTTATAAGTATGGCTTTGAATCACCATATTACATGGTAACCCAGGATCATATTTAACAGGCAACAAGAAAGCACACCTCCATAAAATTGTGAAACTGAGTGAACATTCTAAACATGAGCATTCCCAGAGAAACATTCCCCCTAGCAAAAACAGCAACCATGATAAGTACGGTAGATTAAACACCATTACAGACAATAAGGAATTCAATGTATGAACAAAGCACTACCAAGATTGATCAAAGTGAACATGGGGATAGCGGACAATTATGGGTTGAATTGCATAACCAGGGATGAACGCTCCAAGTTGGAATGAAATGAGAACCCTTCCATTAGTTGTTGTTCCCTCGGGAAACAAAAGAACTCGAGGAAATCTACCGCACGAAGCTTTTCTCTGCATTCAGATCCTTGAAAGCACATTTCTGTATCAAATAGCTTATAACATGATATAAATTATTTAGATGTATTTAGCAAACTAAACATAACATCACTACTGGGTTTCCCAATTTATGGAACTGTTGAAGGGTATTTTTAAGCTCTATTGAGACTAGTGAAGATACATGCAAGACATCCAAAACAGAATAGGGCATTCACAAATTAGGTACAGTTTAATGAATCTGAGCATTACACAATTTGTGCAAGTCACTGAACGCTATACTGCAGGGATTTTATCAATGCAATTCAAAGAAGCATAAAATTAGTAAACATTACAGAAACTTTATACCTTTATTTCAGTAACAGCAAGCCTCCTTGATGATGGTGAAAACCTATCGACATAGATCACCTGCAAACATAGCACAACAAGAAAAGTGATAATTAAAACCAAATTTTGAGGGGAAAAACAAGAAGATGAAAAACTGTCAACTGCACCTAACGTGATGGTATATAATCAGATTACCTGCATTGCTCTAATAATAGTTCCAACAAAGGGCATAGAATCGTGTGACTCGGCCGCAACAATTGTAGGGAAGAATTCAAAAAAATAAAAAATTGGATCGATATATGATACATGATTAGACACAACAATCGGTGCAATTTCTCTCGGAGCAAGCTTTCCTTTTCTTCTGATCCAATGATAACTGCAACACCAACCACCCAAAAAAACAATCACATCGATTACCTTCAAATAAGTATATAAAAATCAATTCCTTAAAATATTAAGTCATTTTTATTTACTTCAAATAAAAATCCACAAAATCAAAAATCAAAACCCCGTTAAGCAAATAAAAAATAAATTATTTATATCCAACAACCAAACAGACCATAAAGTTTCGAGCTTCAACAAGAAACATATAAATATTAAAAACATGATAAAAATTAATTCAGAAAACCTCCCCCGCCCACCACAAAAAAAAACCGCAAAACAGCATATCCTAATCAAACACATAAAACCAATTCTTTAAACAATCAAACAGACCATACAGTTTCGAACTTTACAGATAAAAAAAAGAGAAATTTAGCATACCCAAAGGAGAATAAAATACAGCGAGTACAACCCCTAGTGACCCACATTAACCTAGACCTCCACTTGGGCATAGGATTATGCTTATCCTTCCACCCTAGTAATGCGATTTTCGTTGCAACATACCCTGTAGCCAAGCAAACCCCAAAAAGCACCAATCTTACTATTGCAATTGGCAAGCAAATCACAATCTTGATCACTTCATATAATCCCTCAATATTAGGCGTCTCGTTCCTAAACGGATCCAATGTTGATGGTGGGGGAACGGACAACCCATCTGACCCGATAAATTCAAATGGGTTGCGAGAAGAAGTATTAGGGTTCGGTTTGTGGTTGTTGGATTGTTGGATGGAGGAGTCAGAGTCATGAACCTTGAGGATTATATGTGGAGGATCTGACAGCTGCGAGGAGAGGAGAGGAGATTCGAGATCACGGTTTGCCATTGTTGATGGCTGGTGCGGGGTTTGGAGGGAAGGATTTTTTAATTTTTATTTGCTAATCGGAGGAGAAAGGAAGGACACAGGGACAGAGGTGGATTGTTACTTTATTTGTTTGGTTCCTAAGAAAGTGAGGAGACAGAGAGGAAACTAGATGAATTGAGTGTTTTCAGTGTTATCTACCACGTTCTTCCCGTGTGAGGACTTTATTATTATTAATTTTTTCTTACAAGACCAAATTCCATTTACCGAGTTTTCTGGGCTTTTATAGGATAAATAAGTTATTGTCTTGAAATACTTGTCGGAATATATATATATATATATATTTTTTAAAGATTTATCAGATACCATGTTGGGAACATTCAATCCATTTCTTCGCAAGAAAAATCTTATTTCTTAATAAAATAAACTGGATTGGTATATTACCGATCTCATATGTAATTATTTTATTTTATTATAACAGCTTTTACCTGGTAATATATTTTTTCTATTTGATAAAAAATAAAATATCTGCATTGAGACTAAAAAAATCACACCAGTTTTATTTTGTCAATTAAATAGTGCATTCAAAAGCTTTGAGGATGCGTTACAAATAATATTTATTTAAAAATTAATTTTTTTATGTATATTATTATATCGTTTTGTTTTTATATTATATGTTAATATTATCATATAGTTTTGATGAAATTCTGAATTTTTTTTTATCTCTCCTAATTTTAAAGTACGGCACTTGAAAACTAAGATTTTTGCCCAACCGTGCTATTTCTTTTTATACCTGTGCTCGATTCCAATTGTTTTTTTTTTTTTTAAATGTCTTAATTTTCAAAGGAAAGTCGGCAAGAAAAGCCACGTCCCATCTAACTTTCTGAATCACAACTCCCAGCGCTAGAAGGCATCAGGAACGGAAGTGCCAAAAGCTTGGCGTCTGCAGGAAAGTCACGGCCCACAGGTGGCAATATTGAAGAGTTCATGAGAGACGATCATAAAATTTTGAATAGCTAGCCAACAAAAGGAGACCCGAAGAGCATGTCTAAACGACATCACAGAGGCGAATGTTCTTGGCTGCAAGCAATCAGTTTGTTTGTTTATCCTTTGTCAACTGGATGGTCATGATCCGGTCTCATCCTAATCCACCACATTTCAAGTTTAATACCATAATTTATGTTTTCACCATACGAATTTAAAAGGGTAAAATTTATTTGAACAGCATATATTGTTCATTGCTTGACATGCAACGAAGGCTTGTAAAATATTAATGACTATTTGATTAAAAAACAAAAATAAGGGTAATAATTTATAGACAAACTTGCTGCGTGCTGACAGTGCTAAGTGCCATGAGCATCTGTTGGTCTAGTTGAGGGACAGCGCGAGTAGCTCCTGTAACTTCACTTGAGAATTTAAGGATTCCAATCCAGCCTAGGGATTTCCAAAATCTGAGGTTCCACCAAGCATCAGCACGACTCCTTATGAAGATGGTATTCTGCACATGAAAAGCCTGCAGCCCATCATGCGGAAAGGGCGCATCCACTGACGATTTCTCCGATGAAAGTTCAACAATATGAAATGAGGAAAAAATAAAAATCAAAGCAAAAGTAAACATTCTTTATCGGATCTAGATTTAGAAGACTCTTTTTCAATCCTCGGTAATGGTCCTGCGCACACCACTAGCATCTTCTGCTCCAAAACTCTGAAATATCAACTGTTAGAAAAGTAGCCTGAGATACTCACATGACAGTGATATCTGTACGATAATCGCCCTGCCAAATCCATCTGATTCCGCACACAACCTAACCTTAATCTTAAACTACTCCCACTTCCAGTGAAGGTTTGGACATCGGGGGAAGAGAGTGGTCGCAGTAATTTAATTGTCAACCCGTACATTGTACATTGTACACAGTGCACCATCGCCGCTATTCATTGCTGTCAAATGATAATATCATTGTTAAGGTCTCTTTCCCGTGCTCAAATTCTTAATATTACAGATCGGAGAGCACAGGCACAAGCACAAGTCCAAGAAGAAATGCAAGTTGGAGATATAATTATGCAGCAAGGAACGACTCAGTACTGGCAGAGTGGTTACTCTGGCTGAAATCTGGTTTCATCTGAGCTAAGTTTCTCTTTGATACAATCCATATCGCTCTGTGGATCATCAAAAGGTTGTCGATCAGCAAAGAACTGTTCATCCTCATCTTCTGGAGGCTTATAGTCCTTCCCTCTCCATACCACAATCTGCTCCTTGTCAAATGTTACAAGGATACAAGGAACCAGGTCCTGTGACAACAAAAACAATTAAAAATTCGAAGGAGAAAACTATTGAAAGTGAAATTTTCAAGCTAGTTTACCATCAGAACATACATCATAACAGCAGGATAACAAGAAATGAAGTAAAAACTACCAAAGCCAAGTTCACATGTTCTACAAAAGTGCAAGCTTGAAGGCCTGGAAAATTTAGTAATGGAAATAATTTTATGCATTGCTTAATCCTTCAAGATGTAATAGAATTTACAGTCACGGTATTGACAATGACATTAGCCATGTATTGACAATTTAAAGTCATTGTGGTTTGACAACTGTGTGACCCATCATTCTGCTCTCTGTTAAAAGAATTGCAGCAGAAAATTAATAGCTGAATGAACAGACAAAAATATATGGATAATTCAATGGATGAAAAGATAGTTTTGATTTAACTATCTCCCAATATCGTTCCATTAAGAAATTGTGTAGAGTTGTGATACCCTCTACATGGTGGTCTGCGAGTTGGTTACAAATGAATCAACTCAATGAATAGCACTACTGAAAGAGAGTATTTCAGCATAATTTAACACAGCACTAAACATTTTTACTCTCATATAATTTAACATGGCACTAAACATTTTCTCTCATATAATCATTGCCAACAGTTGTTTACAGGTTTATGGACTCTATAACATCAATATTGTGTGCTCCCTCTCAAAATACCAGTTCAATCTCCCATATAAAGTGGGGTGAAACATCAGAGAATAGAAAGAAATGCTCAGCAAGAAAGTCCTTCCAGAAAAAAAAGAAAAAAAAAGGTAAAGAAATCCATCTAACAAATACCTAAATGAAATGCCTAACCCTTTTTGTGTAGTTAAAGAAGCAAACATACAAGAAATCATCAATATAAGAATCTAACGATAAAACTTAGCTTTAGCTGCCAACCCCAAGCAAATAACTAAATGAAATTCTTTACCCTAAGTTTGCAGCCTATTTTCTTGGAATCGCTCCTGTCAAGGCCCTGGCAGTCTATTCGAACAAGCTCACTGACGAGAAAAGCATCTCTGACCATGGGTACCAGGCTACCATAATAACCATTTCTGGCTGCAGTTGCAACTTGCAAGTTAATTACCACACAGATGCTGTACAAGTATTATAAATCAGAAAAGGGCAGAGCAATTACAAAGTTTTGTTAAAGCTGGAACTGCAAGTCCTCTCTTTCTCATTTCCTTTGTCTCCTCGATGCTTAGGCCATCAATAGTGGTTTTGATCAGCCTGGGATATACAGGCTCATGAGGTTTCCACAGCATCAATGGAATCACGGGCCTGTTCCTGGGATGATAGTTCCTGCCTCTATACAACACAAGTAGACCACAATGTCTATGAATGATCTTCCCAAAGGTTTTATCCTGTGACAGACACATAACGTGGTGTGAAACTTTTCTTGCAAGGAACATTGTACCGATGATACTCATGCATATAATACTTTCAATTCACATAATGGGTATAGAAACCATGTTGCATAAAGCTATGAAAAGCAAAAGAACAAGAAGCAATTTTAAGAAATCAACAAAAAAGGAAAAAAAGAAAACAATTGCTAGGGAAATTGTCTAGAGATAAAGAGGGGCAATGTCACCAAATTAGAGCAAAGAAGATACCTCAAGCTGGGTGCAGACGTTTTTCATGTCAACAGTTGGAACACCCATGCACTTAACTCTGACTGCTTCATCATGTTTCCAGTGATTATGAATATCATTCAGCATGTTGTGAGTTAAACCATCTCTTCCTACAAAAGAACAAGCAAGAAAGCCACACAACAGGCCTGAATTAGTAAAAAAGAAGGAAATTTCGACGAAAGATACTACTCTAATTTTGTTCCCCTGGTGGAGTGATTGAAAAGCTAAGAGATGATTTGGATTATTATACACTCATAACCCACGTTCTTTTTTTCCTTGTAATTATTTTGCTGATGTGACAATGGCCAAATGCATCTTTTTAAATAAAAATGTCAGGACCATCTTGTTGTGGTCCAGTAGCAAATTTGGTTGTCCCTGTTCTACATTCCAAGTGAGGTTGATGAAGAAATCCCACACCACCTCTCATTCAAAAGTCCAAACCTAATTATGTTTATTGCATATGCATGACTGTCAATCTCTTTCTTGTCAATACGATATTAGTTCAAATGCACTACCACAGCGTCCTTCCCTTTAGGTGAGAATGTAATTCACAGAGAGCCCCACTTCTCCTAGAACAGAAACCTTTATAATAGTTTGAGTGCTGTGCGAAGCATCAAGATTCCAATGCTCACAAGCACACGAACCACTTTCAGCCAAAGGATAAACCACCAACATGCTCAATTTGCCATGGAAGAACAGTAAAAGAACAGTTGAGTTACTGCTGCTATTGGAAAACAATGAGCTCTAATACCTCTTTGTGGTTCTTGAGTCCATGTTTATCAGGAATAATAGTCTTAGGAAGACATCAAGTCGATGCCGCTTTTGACACAAAAGTTTAAGCCAATGAATTACTAGTCTCTCATCTCATAATGCCCCCGAGTTGCTACCCATCTAGTCAATGAACTACTTCACACATTAAACCCACAAAGCAAATAAAGAAACTAAATTTACAGTGAAAAGAACAAACTTCTACCACGGGACCCTAAATACAAAGCAACAACCACACAAAAAGATGTTGAATAGAAGATCGAGCTATCCTTTACTTGGAACTTATCAGTTATCATTACTTTGGCTGTATACAAGAATATATTTTCCCGCAATAGTCTTTCAGACAACCTTAAAGGAATTCAACTCCATTTCTTACTAAAATGGAACTGTATTGTCAATTTTAATAAGATTGTAAAAATACATTCTAGCATTAAATATCAAATCAACCAAAATAATAGATTAACAAGTGGAATTAAACAATCCAAAAACACCATCATACACTAATCAATTAAACACCGCTCATCAAAACCACCAAAAACAGCCACATTCAGGTCGAAACCCTCAAATCCCCAAACCCGAAACACAAATATGGCAGTAAAAGTCCAAAAAAGATCAATACTTTTTAAAACGAAAAAAAAACTAAAAAGCAAAAAAAGAAGAAGAAAAACATACCCAAATTAATTTGCTTCTTAGTTTTATTCCTCTGACACTTGTCCACCAAAATCTTCCCCTCCGCCTTAGTTAATGGCTTCCCTTGAATCTTCTCTCTCATAACCATTCGTTTCTCTTCCAAATCAAGACCCTCCTCACCCACCCCATCATCAACCGACTTCACCTTAAGGTCGACAGCCGGTGCACAAACTCCAGTCCAAGTCCGGTCTAGCCGGCCCGGCCCAAAAGGTGAGTACTTGGGCTCTCTAAGTCCAATGGGCCTCACATCTGGGCTACTCTCCGTGTAACTAAAACGGAAATCGAATGGTAAGTCGGAGCACAAGGGTTTCTTGTTCGTTTCAAGAGAAGAAGGTGGGCGATATTCGGGTTTTTGCTTCTTTTTGTTGTTGTTGTTGTTGTTGGAGGTCTGAGGTTTTTCAGGGGATAGGGAAGGTGGCGGCTTGAAGCAATAAATATCGTGCAGTTTTGAGGAGGCGGTGGAGGACGAGAGGTGGCGCGTGAGGAAGATGTGTTTTTGGGCGGAGAGGCGCGTGAGAGGGGACATGGAGGGTGGGGTTTCCTGGTTTGTTTGTTAGCGGGGTTTAAAGGCTGGAGTTGTGTTGGGTTTTAGTAAAGAGAAACGGTGAGGAGGCTTCGATGCAGGGACTGGGACCTTGCTGCCTGGGCTCGACGCCGTTTCTTCTTGTTAAAAATAAAAAATAAAAATAGCAAGAGTGCGTTTCATACGATTTTTTCATTATGATTTTTAATTTTTAATTAGTTTTTTTGTAAATAACTGAAAATAAAAATAAATTAAAATAATCTTGGTATTTCAAAAATGATTCAAAGCAACTTTCTTAAAAACATTAGAAGTAAAAAATAAATTATTTTGATTAAATGAAGATCTTAATTCTGTTTTATAGTAAGCTTACTAAACATATTTGTGATTTTTTAAGTGAAAAAACTCAAATCAAATTGAAGAGGTCATCCAAATATATATTTTCTTAAATAATTCTTTTACTATGCAATAGTAAACAATTATTATCATTCCTAAATGATATTCAATGATTGTACTGTGAAATTTATAACAACAACACGTAATTCCTTTATAGTTCAATAATATAAGAGTAGTAATAGTTGTAATTGTTTTTTAAATAATTTTTTGTGTTAAAATATAAATTAATAATATTTTTTTTATTTTTTAAAATTATTTTTAATATTAACGTATCAAAATAATTTAAAAACATTAAAAATATATTAATTTAAAATAAATAAATAATTTTAAAAATATTTTTAAAATACAGAAATGAACAGTCATCTCTTATTCTTAAATCTCGTCTCAGATTACTTATGATTTGAAGCTAGAATATTTTATTCATAAATCTTGAACGCTAAGTTAATATTTAAAATTACATTTATGTACATAAGTAGGTGTAAATGGATAGCCTAACAATTGCGTGTGAAGTAACCTTTTCCAGATTATTATGCAAGCCTATCTCTATTATATAGATCAAGGTCCCACCACCTTTTTAAAAAAATAAATAAATAAAAATTATTAAGCTGGTGTCGTTTCCTCCCAGCTTGATCGTATTCTATTTTTTATAAGTAATTTTATTTTTGTCAATTAAAAAAATAAATTATAAGAAAGAAAACAAACGAAAGGAGCAGAAAAAGAGTTTGATTATAAAATTAAAAATCTCAATCTTTTAATATATAATAAGTAATTTATTTTAATCGCATCGGCTAAAATATTGGCCTTTCAATCTCAGTTTTCATTCAAATTAATTTTTAATTATAAATAATTCAATTAATAAATAAATTAAATTTATATACTTGGAATTCAATTCATTTTATTTACCACGTTATCTTTATTATTTTTATCTTACTTTTTCAAAGATATATATTTTTTTAAAATGACTGAATAAATATTTTTTAAAAAATAGTTTTAACACTATGTAATAATGATAATAATAATTCCAAATATGAGATTTCATTCAAACATTCCAAACAAACTGTTAAATTTATTTTGAAGGTTAATTTCTTTAAGTTCAAGCATCAACTTCTTTTAGTACCAGCCTAACGCGAATCTCGTTCCAGGATAAGCTACTTAAAGCCACTTGAATTACTCAAGGGAAAAAAAAGGCCCTTCCAAGTGAGCAGCTTCTTCAGGAAGAACTTGAGGCCATATCCTGGATTATGCTATCAAAATATTGGAAAGGTTGACTTGCTTGAATTGGAATTTAAGGGAAAACAGGGTTCCTGATGTCATCGGCGCTTCGTTTTCAAGCGACTTCTCCTCTGACAACGATCTTTTAAGGCTTTGTCTTATGCCATGAAATTTCCAATTGCAAAAACTATTTATCATTTCCACTAAGCCATTATTATATCGATAGAGAATGGTGCGGCATAAGCAGGCTTAGACACTTCATATTTGCTGGTGGGTTGGAGGCACTTCGACATAGCATCACCCACAAATCTTAGTGTTGTGTAACTTTATCTTGTTAGAGGAAAGTTTATGGATGATACTATCCCTTGAATGATGAGCTGCCATGTATATATTACACGCACGCACGCACACACACGGGGTACTATGGCTCATGTTGACTCGGGGCCTGAATCCATGCTATAATTTGATTTCTAGGCAATTTCCTGTGATCTTTATCTTTTTTTTACTGAGTCTGAAACCTATGCAATTTTGCTTTAATTAGGCAAGGGATGTTATTAGTAATTATATTTTATGTTATTTACTTTCTATGTTATATATAGTAGCATTAGGGTTTCTTTAAGCAGAAGTAAAGGACTGTTGCCAGTAACTCTGTTGTGTAATTTTTTCCAAGGGTTTTGGGATTTAGGAGCATAAGAACAGAAAGAAAGAAAAAAAGTTAATTTTGAATAAAGTTTCCCCAAAGGAAGCAATCCTAAAGTGAGCTATCTATGACATTGATTGGCTACAGCATGAGAGCAACGGAATTTTGTTGTCTTTCTTTCAAGGTTTCCCAACCTGATACCTTATCAGCCAGAACTGTGAAGATGTTAAGTGCACGTTTCTGGTTCTTATCCTCATTGAAGCTTGTTTGAAGTGTTGCTATTAATACACTAAGCTAGAATTCCTGAAGAGAGGCAGTCGAGGATAAAGTTATTTAACACCAAGACCTTGATCAATCCTGCTAGCAACATCATGTCAAAGAAGAAATTAATTATCCCTTCTATTCCTCTTGCAAACGTCTTAATCTTCATCTTGTTAGGTTTTGTTGCCGCAACTGAAGATGAACAGAAGGTTCATACTTACCTCTTGCTAGATAACCATCTCAATGTTTTCACTTCTTAACGTCTCATTCATTTTCCAGCGCAATAATTCTTAACGTTGTTAGGTTAATGGACAGGAATTTTACATTGTTTATCTTGGAGATCAACCAGTGGATAATGTCTCTGCAGTGCAAACACACATGGATGTTCTGTTGTCCATCAAGAGAAGGTAAGCTCACTACGAGTATGCAGTTTAGTACATGGCCACAAGTGTCCTCTATCTGATTCGAGGCCAAACAGCCATAGCTATCATAGTCTATTATGATCATAACTGCAGATGATAATTTTATTTATGTGAAACAGTGATGTTGAAGCTAGGGAGTCCATCATATATAGCTATACAAAGATCTTTAATGCATTTGCTGCAAAGCTATCTAAAGCTGAAGCCAACAAGCTATCACGTATGTGTACCACTCCACTTGTGTATGTTACCTTCGTACTATTATGGATTCCAGTTTGAAATCTTGATCCAATTTATTGTTGGTGGCTTGGTGTGAATGTTCAGGCAGGGAAGAAGTTCTTTCCGTGTTTCCAAATCGGTACCACAAACTCCACACAACTAAGTCGTGGGATTTTATCGGGCTTCCTAACACAGCAAAAAGAAACCTGAAAATGGAGAGAAACATAGTTGTGGGTCTACTGGATACAGGTTTTTGAATCTTCTTGATCACTGGAGGAAGTTCTATTAAGTTTCTTTTCACAAAAGCAAAAACCATGATTTCTTGAGCAAACAAATCTGTTTCTTGGTGTGTGTGCCAGGGATCACTCCGCAGTCTGAGAGCTTTAAGGATGATGGTTTTGGTCCTCCTCCTAAAAAATGGAAAGGCACTTGCGGCCACTACACTAATTTCTCAGGATGCAACAAGTAAATTTCTTTACTGTAAACGAGACAGAATTGTTTAAAGTTTTTTTTCTTCCACATACATACTTTTTAGAATTGGTTTCAATACTTCAATCTTTGATAACAGTAATTGATAGGAGTTGCACTGGTTTAACCTCAGAGTTCTTTCTTTCTTTTTTTCTTTTTCCACCCTCTCTCGGATATTGAAGTAAGCTTGTAGGAGCTAGATTCTTCAAGCTCGATGGCAACCCGGATCCCAGTGACATCTTATCTCCAGTAGATGTGGATGGCCATGGGACACACACGTCATCGACACTAGCAGGAAACCTGATTCCAGATGCCAGCCTATTTGGTCTAGCAGGAGGGGCTGCACGCGGTGCAGTGCCAAACGCCAGGGTAGCCATGTATAAAGTGTGTTGGATGAGCTCTGGTTGCTCGGATATGGACTTGCTTGCTGCATTTGAAGCTGCTATACATGATGGTGTTGATGTTCTATCAGTATCTATTGGTGGAGTGGATGCTAATTATGTATCAGATGCATTAGCCATAGGTGCATTTCATGCCATGAAGAAAGGAATTATCACAGTGGCCTCCGGTGGAAATGATGGACCGTCTTCTGGTTCTGTTGCCAACCATGCTCCCTGGATCTTGACCGTTGCAGCCAGTGGAATCAACCGGGAGTTTAGGAGCAAAGTTGAGTTGGGAAATGGGAAGATTTTGTCAGTAAGTTCAGCATTGCCATCAATTTAAGAATCTTAAGTTCACATTGATATATTTTTAATACCAGATTGTGTAAATAGTAAAGTAACAAGCTCTTGAATTTAATGTGTCTTAGGGTGTTGGAGTGAACACATTTGAACCAAAACAGAAATCATACCCCCTTGTTAGTGGGGCTGAAGCTGGTTACTCTGGACTCCAGAACCATGCAAGGTACTACTACTAATTTGTTTGTAAAGCAACGAGCAGTGAAAATTTAATAGATATGCAATGGCGCTAAACTTTATCACAGGTTCTGTGATGCAGGCTCGTTGGACCCTAACAAAGTGAAAGGGAAGCTTGTCTTGTGTGAGTTAGGAGAGTGGGGTTCTGATTCTGTTGTTAAAGGAATTGGAGGGAAAGGCATTATTCTTGAGAGTCAGCAATATCTTGATGCTGCCCAAATTTTTATGGCACCTGCAACCATGGTCAACGCCACAGTAAGCGGGGCAGTCAATGATTATATACATTCCACAACGTAATTAACATTCCTGTTCTTAGTTCTATTCCCAATTTCTGCTGTATTGTCCTTAGGCTGACTATTTTTTATAAACGCAGATTTCCATCAGCAATGATACACAGATCCCAAGAAGTAGAAGTCCCTGCTCCATTTGTCGCTTCTTTTTCATCTCGGGGTCCAAATCCAGGATCAGAACGCCTTCTCAAGGCATGTTATAGAAAACTTAAAAAAAAGACCCAAGAAGATTGATTTCTATGAATACCTAACACTTGATAACTAAACTTATTGTTTGATTTTCTGTGACGCAGCCCGACGTTGCAGCACCGGGAATTGACATTTTGGCATCATACACTCCCTTGAGGTCGCTCACCGGGCTGAAAGGTGATACACAGCACTCAAGATTTTCTCTTATGTCAGGGACTTCCATGGCTTGCCCTCACGTTTCTGGGCTAGCTGCCTATATAAAGTCGTTCCATCCAAATTGGACAGCAGCAGCTATCAAATCTGCCATCCTGACAACGGGTAAAAATAAAATCCTACCTTCAATTCTCAGTTCAAATATAGTCAATTTCCATGCCTAAACTTTCATCCAATCTTTGTCAAGCAAAACCTATGAGCTCCAGAGTGAACAACGACGCAGAATTTGCCTATGGTGCTGGTCAAATAAATCCTCTTAGAGCAAGAAACCCTGGCCTAGTCTATGACATGGATGAGATGTCTTACATTCAGTTCTTATGCCACGAAGGCTACGATGGATCCTCCTTCGCTGTTTTAGCTGGTTCAAAATCCATCAATTGCTCCTCATTGCTTCCTGGACTTGGCTATGATGCTCTTAACTATCCGACTATGCAACTTAATGTAAAAAATGAGCAGGAACCAACCATAGGAGTTTTTACAAGGACAGTCACCAATGTAGGCCCTTCTCGTTCCATCTACAATGCAACCATTAAGGCTCCTGAAGGAGTACAAATCCAAGTAAAACCCACGAGCCTCTCCTTCTCTGGTGCCGCGCAGAAGCGAAGTTTTAAGGTTGTGGTCAAGGCAAAACCCCTGTCAGGACCTCAAATATTGTCGGGTTCACTTTTATGGAAAAGTAAGCTTCACGTTGTAAGGAGCCCTATCGTTATTTTCAAACCCCTGGGCTAATATTGTAAAAGAAGTACTCTGTATTATACACAAACATGCTAGCTTGAGTTCGTGTGTGTGTGTGTAGTTCAATTAATACTTGGTAATATATACTATGCTGAGATTAACTGTTTGTTGTGTTTGCCTCGCTAAAGTTTGGTGCCCATCATAATTAAAATATTTATAATCTAGAAATTTTTAAGAAATTGGTTTTAAGCGCTGGAATTCCGAAATCTTTACCTGAATTGGTTGACCACTTTGAGTCTTGTCCTCGCTGATTTAATAGGGAAACAAAAAACAAAAAAAAAAACTTGTAAATGCATGAGTCAGGAGCAATAGATGGCATGCAACGGCACACAAAATTTTTATTTTTTTTATATTTTTTAGTTTAATGTATATTTCAAGTGAAATTATTTATTTTCGTATCAAGTGATTTGTAAATGAATATTGCTTAACGGAAACAAGGTTATTAAAAATGTATTTCCAACCTGATAGAAAAAATAAAACATAAATTTAGATGGTAAAAATAATATCATAAAATTATATAAAAACAATCATACCTAATTCAAATATTTTAAAATCAGTGGTTGAAATTCAACATAATTTAAGTTATTTAAATTTTTTCATGGATTTTACGGCACTCATTAGACATTAACAATTATTAGACATTAACAATTATTTATGTTAAACAAAGAGAAATTTTTTTTAATAGGCTGTTTGGAAATGTGATTATTTTTAAAATATTTATTATATGAAAATACATCAAAATAATATTTTTTATTTTTTAAAAATTATTTTTAAGATAAATATATCAAAATAATTCAAAACATGTAAAATAAATTAAGAGAAACCGCCTTTTTTATAATGTTTATATTGCTTTTTAAAATATTTTTATATCAAAATAATATTTTTTTATTTTTTAAAAATTATTTTAAAAATCAAAGCATCAAAATAATTTAAATTATTTTTTAAAAGTAATACACGTTTTCAAACAAGCTGATATATCTTAAATCAATGGAAAATCTCGTGACAATTGTCTAACGTCGAGGGTCACCCGACGGCGCCGTCATGTAAAACCACAAAAATCGTGAAGAAGGAATAAGAGAAAAAAGACCAGTTGATTTGGCCCTCTGTAATGGATGCTGAGTGTGCTCAACTACTTCCATTTCATCAAGTGATAAAAGCTGTCTATCACCACTAACATTCCATTCCTGCATTTCTTTCTTTCTACAGACTTCTCTATACTTTCCACACTCCATCTAGTAGTGACGCACTACGTCGTGGTTGGGAGAAAAAACAAATTAAAATAAAAAAATATATCTAGATATTAACAAGACATCTTTCTAAAAAAGATTTTAAACATAAATTAAATAATATTTTTATTTAATATTGAAATAAAAAACATTTCACTTATAAAATTCATAATGATAAAATCAGTAAAAAAATTGAAAAATTTAATATTGAATCAACTCAATATTAAAAGACAAAATCAATAAAAAAATTTAATTAAAAAACTAAATTAAGTCAAATTAACCAAGTAAACTCGAGATGTAAGTCATGCAAATAATCACATGTAATAAATTTTTTATGTCTGATTATTCTTTGTTTAATTATACAAAGATACAATGCATAATATTTTTTTTGTATGAAATATTTTTTAAGTAAAAAAAACCATGATAGGAATGTGGTGCTAAGTTAACAAAAATAAATTATTGATAACAAATGATGACATTGTTTGAGTTTTTTTAAAAAAAAATAGATCATCAATAACAAATGATGAATTTGTATTATTTTTTTAAATTTAAGGGTAGAAAAAAACATTAAACAAAAAATAATAATGGCACAAATGTTTCAGATTGACTCGTTAAACCTGCAACCTGACTTATAGACTCAATTGGGTTCAATGATTTTTTTATCAATTTTTTTTATCTAAATACTAAAAAAAAAAAAAAAAACTTTAGGAGCCCAGATGCGTGGGGTTAATGGCCCAATATGCATGGATATTAAAAAACAACCTAGATGTATGGGCCTTTCAACCTCCTGTACACCTAGATTTACCTTTATTTTTTTATTTTTTTATAGGAACGAACGACCTTTCATCCATTCTATATATATATATATATATATATAAAAGATAGTAGATGATATGTCATTTATTTTCTGCAGAATCCAATGACTAGAGGTTGTTGGAAAAATGAGGTTTGGTTTTTTTGCTTAGAAACCTATTTTGAACATCTAAAAAATACCTTGATAAACTTATCTATGACCTTAAAAAACTAAAATTAACTTGAACTCAAAAACATCCATGCGACCAAATCTACCTTCTTAGGCAAAAAGAAGGAAAAAAACAACTAGATGAAACTAGCTTCATAAAAAAGATCAAAATAAAATTTTCAAATGAATTTTGAAGTTACCATCTTTTTTACCTATTATTTTTACTTTGACCGTCTGACTTTTAATCCAACTTTTTCAATTCGGTGCTAATTTAAACTTAAAATGACTCAATTATGCAAAACAAAAAAAATTAAAAAATTAGAAAAAATTGACTATTCCAATCAACAATAAATTGTAAGTGAATAGACAATAAAAAATATTACAATGAAAATGCCTTATAACTTAGTTTCTTTTAATTGATGAGGTTATTATAAAACCCCATACTTATCTAGACCTTTCCAAGATTAAGAATTATGCATTAATGAGTTTTAAGATCATGAACTCCAACAAAACAAATCTCGTGTAATGATACGAGAATCATTTGATACTTAGTTAATAAATTTATATAAGAAACATAACTTTAAAGACAATATACATTGTGTTTGGGATGATTGAACGAAGAAGATGATAAATATAGATATTGTAAAAAATTATGGGTATGTGCATATAATAAACAAAATCTTTATTTACTTGATGTTTTACGAGGGTTTTTAAACCTATGAAACATGTTTGCTTGCATGGAAGGAGAAGTGGAAATGGTAAAATATTGTTTGACCTAGCTTATAAGTAATTATGTTAAATAATAACTCTTAATGTATTGTGGTTTTTCTATTAATTTGAGATAAGAGGGTGACAAGTAAGTAATGCTTTGATAAAAACATGTCCATTGTTGTTTTATAGGCCTTTCTATGATAAAATGATACATTAATGTCATTCAATATTTAATACTAAGTTTTAATTACATAAAGTAAGTAAAGATAGATAAACTCAGACTCAGTGTATCTTAAGGCTACATTGTTAGATTTGGGATATCTCGAATCCAACTGTAGAGCTACCAAGTCAACTGAATTAGCATAAAGGTCATACTAGTTAGGCTAATTATGCTACCTTAAAGATTATAGTAGTTATCTTAGCTAAATTACTTTAGTGTCTATATCCAAGTGGTTAATCGTATCCGAACATGAAAAGTTTGGATGGAATGATTAACCCATTAGGTCTTGGGCTAATATCCATGATGGGTCATACTTTGAGCCAAGGTTAGGTGAGGGGCGAGACATGCTAAGGGTGATAGGTAGGTCATGCTTCTAATATCTAATAATTTTTTTATTGATTAATAAAGGAGGGTGACAAATCATGCTCCGTCATAAACATGTTTTAACTTAATATTTAATAATGAACACTAACACAAGCCAAAATGAATGAACTTGGACACGATATAGATATAAAAACGACACTCTTAAATATAAGATGTCCAAACTTAACCATGGACTTGCTAGATCAACAAAATTACCTTGAAAATCATACTAATTAGGTTAGATGAGTTATTTTAAAGATCGTGCCGACAAACTACCAAGTACCTTGATTCATAAAATTAATTATACCTCAGCATGAGAAGCTTGAATAAAATGATTGAACCGCCATGTTTTGGACCGGTGTTCATGATGGATCATGTCTCGAGCCAGGCCCAGGGCGGAGTATACATGGGCCCAATCCCGAGCCCAATGACTATATATGCGGGCCAGGCTTAAAAGCGAGGATGTTAAAGTTTGGACCCGTAACTAGCCCAAAGACACACAGTTGGATTTCTTTTGTTGTTCGGTAAAATGATGTCCCTCTGAGATAAAGTAAAAGAAGGAAGGCGTGAAACGCATTGGGAAGGTCCATGAAAACAAAAGCTCGTGGCAAAGGACCATTATTCTTAAAATAGCACCCCACCTACTACCGAGCATCATACCTCAGAGGCCATCATTGCAAGCTTCGTGTCTTCTACAAGATTTGTTTATATCTCAGTCTTAGTTCGTTCTGTATTCCTTCACTACATGCCAAACAAATTACAGTGTTGAAAAACCTAATTATACTTCTAGTTGGCATATCCAAAGTAATGCCCGAATAATTAAACTTGATGTAATTCTTTGTGTGCGCATGCTAGCATGAGGGCATACGAGTTACACATTGCTGTTTTTTTTAAGATTCAAATCTTAATAGTCAAGAAGGGATGCTCTGTCTTCAACCATTACGTTTTCACCTCATAACACCCTGTAAGATAGAAAAGAAAAAGAGAAAACTAGCCCAGGACTCCTAACTGCCTGAAAAAAGAAGACTCGAGACAAAAAACGATCAGTAATTGATCCACAAAACACCCTCCCCTGTAAAGCAAGAGAGGGCCTCGAACTAGAATTTGAATCTCGCCTCCATTGCTTTAACAAAATAAAAGAAAATGTAGAAAGAAGCAAGGTGCTTAACTGCTGTAATTTTAAATGATTCGAAACCGTTGATAGTGGCATGGACTTCTTCCTTCTGTAATCATGACAAGTTGCAAGTCCATTATCTCAGTCAAAATAAAATGCTTTTTATTTCTTAATCATCCATGATCTAAACTAGTTATAAGTACGAATTTTTTCAAGGATATCTGTTCCTTAAAGTCCCATAAAGCATGTTGTTCAAATTAATCATGGAAGCACTGCCTAGGCCATGTCCCACAACCCAACTTTCTGAAGCTGGTGGAGGCATACACCAGCTTTAATTGCTCAATCACTTTCATTCCTTTAATCCATTCGAAGGCGTGCACTTTCGAAGGATAAAGGAAGAAAGCAATTGTATTTTTATTCTATGCTATAATTACCACAGTGACCTCAAGCTGTGGTCAACTTTAAGTCGGCAACTCTTCTTTACTTAGCTTTTATACACGCGCGCGCACGTGAGAAAAGATAGTAGCATGTAAATCCAATAAAATAAAAAATAAAAAATAGAATAAAATAAAAATTTATATAGTTTATCTAATTAGATTATGTTCATGGATAATTATAAAAGTATTTTACAAAATAATATAGAAATTATAATCTCTTTTTCAAATAAGAGAACAATTAAGAATCTTTTTATTATTAAAAAAAAACATTTTATTTATTTTTTTATAAATACTTCATAATTTTATGGAATGACTTTTCTTTTTTTACTCTTCTTTTTTTCTTTTTTATTTTTCTTTTATGGTATGTATAATAAACTTATATATATATATTATCTATTTATAAACAAATATCCATATAAAAAACAAATAACAAGTAGTAGCGATAAAAAGCACTAATTAGTGCCAAAATAATTAACACCAATTAACATTACAAGAAGTGGTACTAATTGGTGATTACTAGCTAGCAAGCTAGCTTGCTTCACAATATAAGATTATCTTCATGCTACTCCTTTTCCAGCCTAAAAATTTGCTCTCATTTTCGTTGTATTCTATGTTGCTTCTCTTCCAATAAGTTTTTGTTTCTATGCATAACAAATAGTTCATCTTCAGCTTTTTCTAGCCAAATATTTTCCCACTGTTTTACAATTTACAGCCACCATGATCTTTAGGATATCTTTGCTGTTGCTGGCCTTCATGGCTGCAAAAGCAAGTGCTGCTTCAATTGACAAGCAGACATATATAATTCACATGGACAAGAACAAGATGCCTGCCTTATATGACCCTCTAGGCAATTCCAGGCAGTGGTATGAATCAGTAATTGATTCCATCACCCAATTCTCATCCCAAGAACAAGAAGAGGAGCAGGAAACAGGATTTCCTCAGCTTCTCTACACCTACGAAACAGTGACTTCTGGTTTCGCTGCGAAACTCTCCACCAAACAAGTGGAGGCCTTGAGCCGAGTCGATGGCTTTCTCTCCGCCATTCCTGATGGAATGCTGACTCTCCACACCACACACACTCCTCAGTTCCTTGGACTGCAAAGTGGAAAGGGACTATGGAATGCTCAAAATCTGGCTTCAGATGTGATAGTTGGCATTCTTGATACTGGAATCTGGCCTGAACATGTTAGCTTCCAAGACTCGGGCATGTCTGCAGTACCCTTGAAATGGAAAGGCAAATGCGAGAGTGGCACAAAGTTTTCACCATCAAATTGCAACAAGAAGCTGATTGGTGCAAGAGCCTTCTTCAAAGGGTACGAGTCTATTGCAGGAAGAATTAATGAAACAGTTGATTATCGATCCCCTCGGGACTCACAAGGCCATGGAACACATACTGCAGCAACTGCTGCCGGTAATCTTGTAGACAAAGCAAGCTTTTATGGATTGGCAAACGGTTCGGCAGCTGGAATGAAGTACACAGCAAGAATTGCCGCTTACAAAGTCTGCTGGACATCAGGTTGTACCAACACCGATTTATTGGCTGCCATGGACCAAGCTGTCGCTGATGGGGTTGATGTGTTATCACTCTCTTTAGGGGGTTCTGCAAAGCCTTTTTATAGTGATAGCGTTGCTATAGCGTCATTTGGGGCAATCCAAAAGGGGGTTTTTGTTTCTTGCTCTGCTGGCAATTCAGGTCCATCTATCTCCTCAGTTGACAACAATGCTCCATGGATCATGACAGTAGCTGCTAGCTACACCGACCGAAGGTTTCCAACAACTGTCAAACTTGGAAATGGACAATCTTTTGAAGGGGCATCTCTATATACAGGCAAGGCAACAGCACAGTTACCACTAGTGCATGCAGGGACTGCAGGTGGCGAAGGAGCTGAGTATTGTATAACGGGGTCGCTGAAGAGAAAATTGGTGAAAGGCAAAATGGTTGTTTGCAAGAGGGGAATGAGTGGCCGAGCCCAAAAAGGAGAGCAAGTGAAATTGGCAGGAGGGACAGGAATGCTTTTAATCAATACAGAAACTGGAGGGGAAGAGCTTTTCGCTGACGCTCACGTTCTGCCGGCAACTTCTTTAGGAGCCTCAGCAGGTATGGCTGTCAAAGGGTATATGAACTCGACTAAAAGGGCAACTGCTTCGATTGCCTTCAAAGGGACAGTGTACGGTAATCCTGCACCAATGTTGGCTGCATTTTCATCCAGAGGACCTAGTTCAGTGGGACCAGATGTGATCAAGCCAGATGTGACCGCACCAGGGATGAACATTTTAGCAGCGTGGCCACCAATGACTAGCCCAACTCTACTTAAAAGCGACAAAAGAAGCGTATTGTTCAATGTCATTTCAGGCACTTCAATGTCCTGCCCTCATGTGAGTGGTCTAGCTGCACTACTTAAGTCAGTCCATAAAAAATGGTCACCAGCAGCAATCAAATCAGCACTAATGACAACAGCTTATGCTACAGACAACAGGGGATCTCCAATTGCAGATGCTGGGTCCAGTAACTCTGCATCAGCTACCCCTTTCGCGTTTGGCTCTGGCCATGTTGATCCAGAGAGAGCTTCAGATCCAGGGTTGATATATGACATTACCATAGAAGACTATTTAAACTATTTTTGCAGCCTAGACTACACATCTTCTCAAATAGCTCAAGTGTCCAGACGTAATGTCACTTGTCCTGACAATAAAGCTCTCCAGCCCGGTGACCTGAACTACCCTTCTTTTGCAGTGAATTTTGAAGGCAATGCTCGAAATAACAGGGTGAAATACAAGAGAACCCTGACAAATGTCGGGACCCCTTCGAGCACCTATGCAGTAAAAGTGGAAGAACCCAATGGAGTATCAGTGATCCTGGAGCCTAAGAGTTTGAGTTTTGAAAAATTGGGACAGAAACTGAGTTACAATGTGACCTTCGTTAGTTCAGGAGGAAAAGGTAGAGAAGGTAGTTCCTCTATTGGATCTTTAGTTTGGCTGTCAGGAAAATATAGTGTTAGAAGTCCCATAGCAGTAACCTGGCAGTAGTTTCAGGACTGCAGAATAAGAAAACAGAGTTGTTTTAGGTGCAGACTGCAGACCAGACAGAAAAAAATTCCAGAAAGTGGAAGTTTCCAGTTCAAATCCTATGTAATCTCGTTAAAAGATTACTTGGAAACTTCTTTTATTTGCTAAAGAATAAAACAAAGATCCTTGAGTTTCCACTTCAATTCCTATGTAATGTCGTTAAAGATTACTTGGAAACTTCTTTTATTCGCTAAAGAATAAAACAAAGATCCTTGACCATCAGGTGGGCTCTAATTTTCCAATGAATCAGACCATGTCTTTCTTTTCTAGACTCTTTCAAACCCCATAATTTTACCACTTCTGAATCTTTAAAATCAAAATAAAAATAACTACCAAGGAAAAATTCAATTTTCCCAGCCAAAAGTCTGTGGTCTCTGCATGGAAACATAGACTCAAAAACTCATCTAGAATCCTGTGCATTCTATCTGAAAACCTCCAGGTAATGAAGGCAAAAGCAAAAGTCAACAGTCGAAACAAAGACTAAAAAACTCATCTAGAATCCTGTGCTTTCTATGTGTAAACCTCCTGGTAACGTAGGCAAAAGCAAAAGTCAACAGTTGAAGATTTCCAAAAATACAAAAACTGAAGCCTTCTTGGTTATTTCAAGTCCAAAAAATGAAAGAGTCAATTGCTCACTTTTGGTTGCAAAATATAGGTAAAGGTACTATTCTTCTAAAGACTTTATTTATTTCAAGCCTCGATGGGCGGGATGGAAAAGACAAATCCCTGTCGATGATCTCAATTCCACTTGGCAAAGCCAGAATCGGGGAAAGGACACGCAGCCCTGCCTGCTACCATTTTTATTTTCTTTCATTTTTTAAGGTGAAAGCTGTTGTCTTGTCACATTAGTATCACTATTATGATGCTCCAAATAATGTATATTTGTCGCTGTTGAAAACTCTAAATGCAGACAAGTCTCAGATGTTGAATTTAACTATATGATCAGATCCTTATTTTATTTCATGATAACGTAAGACACTTTAGGGTAAATTACAACCTTATATCTATATTTCTAACAAATTACTACATCATGAGTCCCTTTGGTTCAAAAAGTTCCGCATACAATCCTTATAAATTACAACCTTCTACTGGCTATCAGACCTCTAATTTTAGGTATTAATTTAAAAGATTTTTTGGTCAAAGGATTAAACATATGATTTTGGACTCCAAATGGACTAATTTATTGTTGTTTCTTGGAAACAAGGGTTAACGTATAATTTACTTTAAGCTTGATAAAAATTCAAAGGAAACCTTGCGTGTTAGGGTAAATGTCATAATAAATATAAAAGAATCCATAAAGTATTTTTAAAAGAAAAATGGAAAAATAATATGATGGTGTGCTTATGTAAACAATAACATTTGCCCAATATAAATTTTCCATGTGGAAATTGCCAGATTTTCTCAGTTATTTGGATCTTTACCAAAAATTAGGACAGCCTCCTCGTAACCTGAAAACGCCGGCCATCGTCAGCGTGATAAAATTTTCTGTTTTTTAGCACTTCCAGTTCGTGTTTTTCCTTCTTGTTCTTGTTGTTCTCCTTCTTCTTCATTGAAGATTACAAGGGACTCTTTCACATCAGTTCTAAAAAGGTGATTCATTTTCTCTTTTTGCCTCATTGTTCCTAGCAAGTTTGAGACCTTTTCCCTCCCTTTTCTTGTTCAGGGGATTGTCCATTGAATCTGATCAAGAAAAGGGGAAAAAATGAATCTTCGAGGGGTTTTTTTTGCATGTTTTGCTTAAGTTTATGAGCAATTTTTACCGTTATAAAGAATCACAAAAGAGTTTTCTTTTGATGTTTTCCTGTTGAAAAAATGGATAATAATTATGGTTCTTCATACCCTTATAACAATCCATATCCATATCCTCCTCCGCCTCCAAGTTATGGGTATCCACCATCCGATCCATACTTCTCTCCTCAGCCCTACCCCTATGGGCCAAACCCTCCTTATGGTGCTTACCAATATCCGCCCCCTCCATCTGCATACACAGCAACACCGCCACATTCAATTACTCATTCAGGCTCTGTAGATTATTCCCACCAAAAACCTTCAGCACCATATCCAACAAGCCATTCGGGGCCTTTAGACTATTCTCACCACCGACAACCATCTCCACATCCAACAACAGATTCAGGACCTTTAGGCTTTGACTACCTCCATTCTGGTCCTTTAACTTATTCATCACCATCATCACCATATGCTGAATATCCACCAGCACCACATGTTTCAAATTCAATCCTTCAAAATAATGGAAGTTTTCATAATTACCCTTATGTTCAATCTCAATCGAGCCAATATCCTTCCCCTGATAGCATGTCACAAGCACCCTCCAGGGATAATAGCTTTTCCGATCATCATAGACAAGATATTTCTTCATCTTTAGGAATTGGATCATCATCATCAAATCCTGATAAAGTTGATGCCGCTGTTATTGGTTCTTCTTCTGCTTATCCACCTTTGGATGATTTAGTAAGTAATATGCATTTGAATGATAGGAATAATCACCCTACTGCGCCTGCATTCCCACCAGCACCTTCAGTGCCTCCAGTGCCTGATTCCCCTCAAAGCTATCAGGGCTCTAGTTTTGGATATGGTCCCCCACGTGAATTCTATGGTTTTCCTAATGACTCATTTTCAAGTAACTGGGAGGAAAATTATGCGAGCAGAGTTGATTCTTCTGGTCACTATCCTGGTTCTGCTTATGCACATACATCCTCCTTTAACGGATCAAAGCATGGCCAGGGTATGGAGATTGTGCCAGTGTCAGGTGGTAAAGGGTCTTTGAGGGTTTTGCTATTACATGGGAATTTGGACATTTATGTTTATGATGCAAAGAATCTCCCAAACATGGACATGTTCCACAAGACTTTGGGTGATATGTTCAATAAATACACTGGAATTGTAAGTAGCAAGATTGAAGGACAAGCGTTCACCAAGATTACCAGTGATCCTTATGTTTCGATTTCGGTGGCTGGTGCTGTGATTGGGAGGACTTTTGTGATTAGCAATAGCGAGAATCCTGTATGGATGCAACATTTTTATGTTCCTGTTGCACATCACGCTGCAGAAGTGCATTTTGTTGTCAAGGACAATGATGTTGTGGGATCGCAGTTGATAGGAGTTGTGGCAATTCCAGTTGAACATATATGTTCAGGGGAAAGAATTGAGGGGGTTTACCCTATTTTGAATAACAATGGTAAACAGTGTAAGCCTGGTGCTGCATTGAGAATTTCAATTCAGTACATACCCATGGAGAAACTAAGCGTTTATCGCCATGGTGTTGGTGCTGGTCCTGATTATCATGGTGTGCCAGGCACCTATTTTCCTCTTGGGAAAGGTGGAACAGTTACTCTTTATCAAGATGCCCATGTTCCAGACGGGCGCCTTCCAAATGTGCAACTTGATGACGGGGTGCCTTGTCTGCACGGAAAATGCTGGCAAGATATCTTTCATGCTATACGACAAGCCCGGCGCTTAATTTACATTACTGGGTGGTCTGTGTGGCACAAAGTTACTCTGGTTCGGGATAGTGGTCAGCATTCAGGTGTCACCCTCGGGGATCTTCTGAGGTCCAAGTCCCAGGAAGGTGTAAGAGTGCTGCTTCTTGTTTGGGATGATCCTACTTCAAGGAGTGTCTTGGGATATAAAACGGTGAGAATCTTACCTTTATTTAATTGTATAATTGCAGTTTTCTACTGTAGTTTGTGGTCAGATACATGTCCTTGGAACTACCACCTTTTCATCTCTGCAAACCTTCACAAATTGTGGGCCTATATGTGAGTACTTTTGCAAATTTGACTTCTGCTTGCATATCTGATTATTATTGCTATTATGAAAACTGTTGCTTCTGTTGTCTGTTGTGTCTTCTTGCATTCGTTATGATCTATGTGCTTTCTGTCTGGGCTCTTGAGTAGAGCATAAGCCTTCCGTCTAATGATCCATGATTTCAAGGAAATGCCCTGCTAAATCCTCAAACTGTTCATCTTAAATTATGCTACCTGTGGTTATGTACTTACAATTTCAACTGGAGAGTTTCTTAACTCTTCCACTAAACCTCTCTAAAATGCAGGATGGGATTATGGCAACCCATGATGAGGAAACTCGCCGTTTTTTCAAACACTCATCTGTTCAAGTGCTACTTTGTCCTCGCAATGCTGGGAAAAAACATAGCTGGGTCAAGCAAAGGGTTAGTTATTCCAAATTACAACTGTTCTTGAGCTATGCTATTGCTTGAAGCAGCGTTTAGTGCCTGGCGAGTGACAAACATCTTTGATATGTAGAGCCTGTCAGTTTACCTGCCATAACAAAAGCATTTATTATGATTGATCATTGGTTTAAGTGCTAAAAGAATTCTCTTACATATAATTCTTTTGTTGCAGAATGTAATTGCTAAGAATAAGCCTTAACTGAATTGAGCATACTCCAGGCCAGCAGCCCTGCAATGACTAATTCAGTATCACAAGCTGATCTTTGCTCACTTTTTTGCTAATAGTAGTTAGAAAATCTGTAGCATAGATATTCTTTCTTCTTGCTGCTCCTCCATGTTAAAAGAAATTTGTTGTCATGTTACCTTTTCTTTTCCTTCTTTCTTTCTTTCTTTGCTTTTTTTTTTTTTTTTTGCTCTGTGAGGTGAAGCAGGAGACATGTGTCAATCGGCAATACCCGAGAGCTTTCTTTCTCATTCCAGCAAGTTTTCTTTTTTAGTATTGGAGTGGAAATTTTAACCGAATTTCCTCTGCTGTTTCAAATTATCAGGAGGTCGGAACAATTTATACACATCACCAGAAAACTGTAATTGTAGATGCTGATGCTGGCAATAATAGAAGAAAAATCATAGCTTTTGTTGGTGGACTTGATTTATGTGATGGTCGATATGATACTCCAGATCATCCTCTATTTAGGACGCTACAAAATGTGCACAAAGATGACTATCACAACCCTACTTTCACTGTAAGTCTTAAATTTTACCTCTGCTGTTGTTCACTTGTGATTGGCTATATGATTCAGTTGTAGAAGTGCTATTTGGCATGTTATTGATGATATACAAGATAAGCAGAAATAATCTTCTTGCTTAGAGTTTACTTTTAGAAGTAATGAAATCAATGTCTTCTTTCCTTAATTATGTAATTGTTTAAATATTGAGCAGGGTAGTGTTGCAAATTGCCCAAGAGAACCGTGGCATGACTTGCACAGCAGAATAGATGGTCCAGCAGCATATGATGTTCTAACTAACTTTGAGGAGCGTTGGATGAAGGCTGCAAAACCTAAGGGGCTTAAAAAACTAAAAACATCATACGATGATGCTTTACTTAGGATAGACAGAATTCCAGACATTATAGGTGTTTTTGAGACTCCTGTTAATGAGGAAGATCCTGAAGCTTGGCATGTTCAGGTAATTTGTCCAAGCCTGCTCAAGGATCATGCACTGTGATGGGAAGGGGTTATTTTGGTCTTAGAGCTGAATATAGTGAGCTTTAACGAAATTGCATTTGACTTTGCCTTTTCTAAACCACAGATATTTCGATCAATTGATTCAAACTCCGTGAAAGACTTCCCAAAGGATCCAAAGGATGCCACAAAAAAGGTGAGATGGTTATTGTAATTATTATTTTGACAAGTAAAAAATCAAGAAAAGAGAATATTTGGCAACCTGTTGCCCATTGTTTCTCTATTGAGCACGTGCAAGGGGGAGTGTTTGTGTTTTCCTGGCTATGTGTGGAAGTTGACTGACTATTCTGTTGTAACAGAACCTGGTGTGTGGAAAGAATGTACTCATTGACATGAGCATACATACAGCATATGTGATGGCCATCCGTGCTGCCCAGCATTTTATTTACATAGAGAACCAGTATTTCATTGGGTCTTCGTACAACTGGAGTTCATATAAAGATTTAGGTGAGGAACCTCTTATCTGATTTTATGAAACAATCATGTTAAGGCAGGCTGCTTTGAACACTGCATTTCATTGCCTTCCCTGCTTTATAGTCAACATGGAAAGCACAAACTTTGCAGTTTTGAAACAAAGATTGTACTCAGTTTTTTGGGAGTACAGATGTAATCGTACCTGAATTCCTCTCACGTTATTCATTAATTTTTATTTCCCTTCAAAATACTGCAAAAGAATTGGGCTAATAGGTAACTGGGGCACAATTGTGAAGGATGGAGAAATTGAAGGTGCTATAAAACTTTAAGGAAAGGTTAGTGATAAAGTAACATGGGAGAGTATGTAGCACAATTAAGAAACAGACTATCCAAAAGAATTATAGGAAATACGATTGATGGAATTCTTAACCTTGATTAAAGAATGCTGAAGAAGGATAGAGGAATTAAAAGGAACAACAATATCTAAACAGAAATCTCAATCAAATAAGAAAATAAAAGAAAGAAAGCAACTAAATGAGGAAGAACAAAACAGTATCCTGGATCCTTCTGTCGTTGTGCCAGAAGAAAAGTTGTACAATTTTTTCATTGATTGGGTGTCCCTCACAAGTTTAAGGTAGATAATTGACTTTTTTGTACAGTTTATGTAGGGCAATGTGGTGTTAGTTGATTTCATACTTGCTACTTTTTCACAACAAAAATTCTCCGTGTATTTGTTCTTTTCTGGGATATCTCAGTAACTCAACTAGATGGACTATTGCTGTAAAGAGCTGTTTTCTATAGTTCCAGCAAAAAAAATTTATTTAGATACTGAACTGCTGTAATGTGCCTTCTTGCAGGGGCTAATAATTTGATTCCTATGGAAATCGCACTAAAGATTGCCAATAAAATCAGAGCACATGAGAGATTTGCTGCCTACATTGTTGTTCCGATGTGGCCAGAGGGTGTTCCAACTGGTGCCGCTACACAAAGGATTTTGTTTTGGCAGGTAGGTTCCAGCTACAGATTTGGTAGTCGAAACCTTTGTTTTGTTAGGAAACCTTTGTTTTGTTAGGAATGGCCATTTGCCCTTTCTTGTGCTTTACTATTCAGCATGATTGATGTCTTTAAAAGAAAATCTGGACAGGTAAACGTTTGTGGATGCTAATAAAAGTTTTTACCTGGTCCTAAATCACTGGTAGAGATCTGTTTTTTTCATGGGGAAAGATGACAAGCAAGTGATATCAATGATAAAACAGTATCCACTTTGTAAATAAGGAAAAAATTTATAGAAAAAATCAGTTCGTAAAAAAGCTGTTTTTAGCTTGTTAGGGGATTGCATCATGTTATTGGGGTAGAACATGACCTAACATCTATAAACAAAACCTGCTCTAACTTGTTGGTTATAAAAAGTTAACAGCTCAGAGCTAATTTGCCTAGTTTATTTATCTGTATATTTTTTCTACTTGCTAGCTATTAGCATCATCCAATAAAATATTAAATAGCTTAGCTTTTTGTCGGTTCATATTTTACTCTTTTGAGTTTCTAGACCCAAGAACTGGAAAGCCAAATGGAACTAAGATTTGTCATGCAACAGAAAAGTCTGCACTAAATGGTGGTATTATGTTATGTTAATCTGGGAAAGTTGATCATTTCTGCAGCATAAAACAATGCAAATGATGTACGAGACTATTTACAAGGCTCTAGTGGAGGTCGGACTTGAGGAAGCATTCTCACCACAGGATTTTTTGAACTTCTTCTGTCTTGGTAATCGTGAATCTGTAGATGGAGTTAATTCTTCATGCATGCCAAGTCCCCCAAGTTCACACACTCCTCAGGTATCTTCACTCTTGAACTTAGTTGTTTCATTCATGCAATGTATTTTGCAGTTATTCGGAAAATGAGAAACCTCTGATGCAAAATGACGTCCTTGAATCCTGTTATCCTAGAAAATTTGAATTTCATACTTGGATACCTTGACTCTATTTTTAACACACAGCCGGAGAATTTGCTGCAATTTGATTATTTTGATACCTTTTATTTTATTTTGTTATTTGTTTCTGTATGAGCAGGTTCAGATATTGGTTCATTTGAGACCATCTAAATTTTTCAGATTCTCTCGATCCTTTTCTCTCCTTAATAATGTGCTGTATTGTGGCATTTCCAGGCACTTAGTCAGAAAAGCCGGCGGTTCATGATCTATGTTCATTCAAAAGGGATGATAGTTGATGATGAGTATGTAATACTGGGATCTGCAAACATAAATCAGCGTTCCATGGATGGCACTAGAGACACTGAGATTGCAATGGGAGCCTACCAACCTCAACATACCTGGGCAAGAAAACAATCTAATCCACTTGGACAGGTAACCTTCATCAAGATAATATGAAAACAACATCTGTTTCTGTCACAGTTGAAAACAGAAACTCTATATGACAATTGATTCACGAGAAAAAGGATTCAAGGATTCGCTGCTTGAAAAATGGAGAATCACTTGAAATAATAATAATAATAATAAAAAAAAAAAAAACTAGTTTAGAAGAACAACAATAATGATTTGATGGCATTATAGTGCAACAAAGCATTGAAATAGTGAAGCAATGTCTGCGGTTGTATAAAAGTTGAAGAATGATTTATGGTGCTTGAAGAGTTGTTTTTTTTCTGATTATGTTTGAATGAGTAAATTAAATATGAAAAAAAAATATGAAAATTAATACGAGGAAGCTTTTTTTGAAAGAAAACGTGAACTAGAAAATATCAAAGAATCTGAACTGTTGTGCCACTTGACTGTAGAACCAGTTTTTTGTCAGTCATTCCTGTCAACAATGACAGTCATACATGAAAAGTTGACATGAGAGATGGAGATTTTATTTGTTTATCCTTTGTCCTAGCCACAGGATGCAGTTAGAAACCTACATATTTTTTTTAATATTTGAAACTCTGAAATTTCTTGTATTTGCTAACTGACTTGCTGTTTCTTGAACAAAATGCTTTCTTTTTAGATCCATGGATATCGGATGTCTCTCTGGGCAGAGCATACTGGAGTTATTGAGGACTGCTTTACAAAACCAGAGAGTCTTGAATGTGTTAGGAGAATTAAAGCAATGGGGGAGATGAACTGGAAACAATTCGCCTCTGAGGAGATATCAGAGATGACAGGGCACCTGCTAAAGTACCCAGTTGAAGTTGATCGGAAGGGCAAGGTGAGGCCTATTCCTGGATCTGAAACTTTCCCAGATGTGGGAGGAAATATAATAGGTTCGTTTCTTGCAATTCAGGAGAATCTGACCATCTAAATAAATCTGTAATGTCAAGTTTCCACTGGCTATGAGATCAAAAAGGATGAATATACCTATAGGATAGTGATTCAAGCAGAGTTTTGAAATATATCCATCTTTACTTGTTAAAAAGCCAATGATATTGTATGTTCACCCTCGCTCTATTTTGGGGTCATAAACATGATTAATTTCACAAAACCCATGATATGAAGGGTGCTATTCATTGTACATCTTTAAGAAAATTATTCCTTCTTGTGCTGAAGTCTCGATTGAGAACGAAGAGCTTGTATTTTTGTATATTTGTGTAAATGAAACTGCTACATAAAGATTTTACGCTGAATGTTTAACATCTGGAGATTTTTATTTTATTTGACTGATGTTCGAATTACATTCTTATGGTTGTGCTTGCTGTTTTTGAATGAGCATGCATAGGAAACTTGCAGATTTCACAAAAACAGCAAGCAAATAGCATTTATTTCCCAGTTATCTTTTGCTCGGGGAGCCTGCAGACGTTATAAACTGACACTTCACCCATATTACTTTTTAACGTTGGAAATTCCAATGCATGGGCAGGAGAATCGAAGAGTTAACGTTCCAGTTGTTTGAAACTGGATGAAAAGGAATATATTTTCCAATTTTCTTTGAAGCCGGTGACCATAAAGATATTACAATTTATGAAACAATGTAGTAAACCTCTTAAGAAAGACAACGCAATTACGCAAATGAGCTGTAGTACTGAAAACTTCTGGCAGAAACATAAAGATAATGAGAGGCAAAATCGTGAAGAATACATTTCAATGAGGTTTTCCTTGCTTGTGATCATATTGTAGTAACAAAAATCCAAATCCTTAGAAACTGTTCTATAACCTTGGAAGTGGGATTTTCCCGTCCTTGCACAAGCCAAAGGTAGTTTGCATATGCGAAGGTTTCTTTCACAGCCACAAAATCTAGAAAGCGGAAGCGCTCCATGCAGAAACCCAACACTGCAAGCAGTGATTATTGAAAGGAACCGGCATGCAGTAGTTACAGAATGTTGAAGACCCAACCAAGATAGGATCATCATGATACATTAACAAGCACTGCATGCTGAGTCTTTTGATCGATCTCCGTTCCGAGACTAAGTCCAGCAAGTTTGGGCACATTGACAGACCCTTGAAGCTCCGATTCAGCTATCGCCTGTTTGTTCTTTGAATGCCCCACTCCCTTAAATATGGGTTATTTTCGTTAGTAACACACTGTCGCGACATAAACAGAATCCCATTCGTTTGCTTACCATCCTGTACATGCTTTCTTTAGTGAGCTTTCTTCGGTGAGCACAATTGTCGATGACAGCCACCATATCTTTCCGAAATCCGTGTCAGGACAGAATTCAGGAGTGTAAGTAGTAGTTGTTTCTAGGTTATCAGCCTGCTTCATGACAATCCTGATGATTGCTGGAGTCTCAAGGTTATGAAGCAAGCTAAAAGGCAATTCAAGAAGTCGAGGTGACAAAAGCGTATCAACAACATCCACCAAACCATGCGGGGGACATGTCTCTTAAAATGGTAAGCGAGTATCCAAGAAGATCAACCACGGCAGATCGATCCTGTAGGAAGTCCAGTTTCGCCCCGTGAAGCAAAGTCAATGGATCGACTGATTCCTTAAACACTCCAAAGACAGACAAAGCAAATCATGTGGAATAGTTATCTCTTCCAGCGATCACTCGAAATGTTTGATAACAAATTCAAAAGATATGCTTAGTCGAAACGGGACTGCCACTTGAATCAACTTCCTCTCCGTTTTCAGAATTACTAACATGGTATAATTTCGAGAAGTGTTGAGGAAAGTGAATTTCATCCAAACGAATCCTGGAGATAAGCAACTTCAGCCAGTCCTCTTTAAAACAAAGTGGTAACAAAGCAACCAAGAAACAATCCTAAATATATAATTCAAACAGATGGTGATAAGACAATAGAACACTTGAATGAATACAAGAATAATTGTGCAGAAAAAAAAATTTACCTAAAGATGCAATCAGTAGAATTTCAGTCACAATAGGCAACCCTTGAACCCCAAAGAGATTCAGAAACTAATTCAGGGCTCTCGTCACAGCAAGCACAAATAATTATACAAACAGGATCGCAAGTCTCGCGACTCTGGACTTTTGCAATCATAGGAAACACATGGCGAAACAATCCACCCCAGATAGCTTGCTGGTGTTCTTTCCCAGCCAAAGAAACAATCGCCAAAACTTGTGATACCACAATCTAAAACAGAACTACCAACAACTTTATACCTCAAAACAGTTGAAACAACCATAACTCTATTTTATTCAATGAACGACTTCTGATTGACAGATACTCCTGCACATAGGTTTCTCAGGAGTTTTAGAAAGAGTACAGCATATTCATGGCAGGAAGGGTAATGCGAAGATTAAGTTATAAGCTTAAGGACAACAGATAGAAGATTCTTGGAAGAAAGGTCTGCACAGCCAGCAGCAGTTTTGGAAACTTCAATAAGAATCTCCAATTTTTCTTCCAATGCAGATTATTCTGAAGCGCTGGATACCGCTTGAGGAAATTTTCATGTATAGATAATAGCTGTGTCGGCACTTCTTCATCCATTGTAGGATCTGACAATAGCTCTGATGCAGGAAACCCCTTTCTCCAATTAGGTTATTTCCAGTTGGTGCTCCTTTTTGCCTTGCCAAAAAAGAAAATAAAAAAAAAACCTCTCTTACATTTAGTAGTTCCGATTGCTGTTTGAATGAAAATGCATAAGAGACATTCAGATTTAACTAAGTGTATCTGTTGCCAATCTTCATTCCCAGATTTTCTTTTGGACTTTCCCTTGAGGAGCATTCAGTCATTATAAGCTGACATTTCACCATCTTACTTCTAGCATCAGGAAATCCCAACGCATGAACAGGAGAATCAAAGCGTTAACCTTCAAGTTGTTTGAGACTGGAAAAAAGAAAAGAAACGACTATTGCTTGAACTGGTGTCCTGCTTCTTCTTTATAACAGTAGGTGCCCTACAACTTCTTTATGCAGATGAAGAAAAACCTAATCAGCACGCTATTGGGAACAATAACTTGGCATAAATTCCACACCCGAAACACAAGATGCGATAGGAGAGTAGGACTCATTGGTAATATCCCATCAATTCCTGCTCCTACAAAACATGCAGTAAAAGGGAATACTCCAGAATTCATACAACATTAACCATCTCAATAAATGGCAACGGTGATAACCGTTTGAATTCAGTTCAGAATCTAGGGTGCCTTTTCTTATACATTACAAGAACATTATAGAAACTACAGATGATATTAAGATGAAAATTAGTAAAAAGACATTCTAAATATAAAATAAAGAATAGAGAGATGTAGGAAAGCATTAACCCTTACTTTTATGTAACAAGAAAGTAAAATAACTCATTGCTTGAAGTCACTGTAGCGGTCATCGCTGACTGCAATGCTAGGGGCGTTTGGTCATTATTCAGGATGGTTAGAAAGCCAGTCTGTGGAGGTCAATCTCTGTATTAGGTACTAAAAAAATTCTTTTCAAATAAATCAGGGTATAAATATAAAAAATAATATCAAAACAACACACGAAAAGGTATTATCAGGATAGAGTTCTTCAATTTTTTGCAGCATATGGTCGGAATATAGATGTCAAATACAGAGTTTACAGCCATTTCTGTAGCATATGCTAGATCGTGTGGCACTGTCACCACAACAGGAACGCTAAATAGCGGGGACGTAGCCGATTTGTGAGCAGAGACAATGGCTTCTTTTTATAACATCGAACCAAGTTGCAATGAAAGGATTAATAAAGAAACTTCACAGGCAATCGCCATATCTATATCGCATGAAGTTAACAACAAAGCAAATGGAACCTCGTCGTGAGAATTTAAATCCTGGCCTCACCTACTTATCTTTTACATTTGTGGATAAAAACTAAATATCCCTAGTCATCTTATACATGGAAATTTCAGACAGAGTAGTAGAATACCAAAGATAAGGAGTGCAGATGGATTCTAGACTGAATAAAATGGATGCGCCTGTATGTTTCGTTCAAGGCTGTACTAAATGCTAATTAAAATTTGCACATGCATTACGGCGGCAGAAGCAATAGTAGTTTGCATACAACCAAAAAGAAATCGTGCAGAATACATTCGATGCTCATGAGAATAATGTCTTAAAAGGGCAACACGAACGAGCTTGAGTACTCAACTTTTGACAAGAGCAAGCACCTCGCTAGCTCTTCCAGTATCAGAGCGAAAGAAGTAAAATTGTGCAGAACGCATTAAACGCTCGTAAAGTTTTGCAAGAATTCCCGCAAAAGAAGCTGGTAGAAACAATTTCATTATAATCTCATCTACAACCCATAAAATGCTCTCCACATGCTTTAGCACATACAATCACGCAATGCTGTGCATTAGTGAGAAATATGTATTCCTCCTTTTAGAAAAGGCGACACGAATGAGCTATAGCACTCAACATTTAACTAAAGCAATCACCTTTCAAGCTCTTCAGATATCAAATAATGAGAGGTAAAATTGTGCAGGATACATTCAACGCTCTAGCTCATATTTCATACAACACTCCCTCAGAAATTCGGGAAAAGACTGTCAGATCATTCTAATAACACCAACCTAACATGAATTCAAAACCTTTGGTAAGGATTCCACAATTTTTAGCAAGTAGGATTTCTCAGTCTTTGCATAAACCAAAGTGGCTTATATATAACTCTCTTTCACAGCCTCAAATCTTGAATTATGCGGAAATGTAGAAAGTCTTCCTAGTCTTCCCGATTCCTGTTGATTTCATGTCTTCTCGGACATTCAGTTATACACACAAGCCTGCAAAAAGAATATCCATACAAGTCCTGTTCAAAAAAGACAAACATAGATACCCAACTTTGCATTATGTAATTAACTCTTGTGTGAAGCACTCGCAGAAAAACAAGTCACCTGTAGATGATGAGTGATGATTAAAAAATTGACCTTTTTTATGACAGTGACATGAAAAAGATGGCGTATGCAGTAGGGAAGCCAAGCACCAATCAGAAAATAAATTTAGCTGAACCATGAAGGCAAAAGTTATTATTACTAAGTTTTGTAAATTCTCATTAGCTATACTCTAGGAAATAATATAAGCTGACGTAGCACTTACTGAATTTAGAAATACCATTCAGAAAACTAGATTTAGAGAATCAATCTAATTAGCCATGCCAATACCATCACGAGATATTAACAAGCTTTGCATGCCGAGTATTTTGATCCACCTCCACTTTGAGACCAAGTCCAGCTAGTTCAGGCATATCAACTGACCCTTGAAGCTCCAATTCAGCGACTGCCTGTTGGTTTTCTGAATTCCCTTCCAATAA